TCCCAGTTACTATGCATAGAGTTGAAAATGAGCTTGAGGTACACCATGTTGATGCAATTCCTTCTATTTCTGAAGAGCCAGATACAGAGTTAAAAAAAAATGCGTAAATTGCGAGAGATATGAGAAAAGTCTTTATAATGCATTTAAATCGATCGTAGAACTTAATGATTGTAATGAAGCTCTGCAAGCAAAGTGCGGTAATATTATTGAGCCTGTTGCAGATAAAGTCGATATAGATTAAGTAGTAGACATTATACGAGCACTACTAGCTAAGTTTTTATCTTTTCTTTTTATTTCTCGCTCAATTTGGGCAACTATATCTGTATTGGAAATATTATTTATACCACCCCCACTTATTTTTTCTGTAGAATCGACGTTATCACTAGATATTGGATCAGATATACGCATAAATTTAGACCGAGATTTGGAGCTTCTCTTTTTTATTTCTGTATTGAGGGGGGTAATAGATTCCAGATGTAGATTCGAAGAAACATGATTCAAAGAAGAGGCGGGGTCTCGAGGAAGCTGAGCTTCGAGTCTTTGTCTCAACTCCGATTCACCGCCTAAAGCCTTGCCTTGTAATAAAACCTCGCTTTCAATCCGATTAGAATGTTCAGGTAAGATTGTTGATATAGGTAATATTTCAGAGGAAATAGTATTTTGTATTATTTGTTGCTGACGTTCATGACTTTCCCATATATCATTAACTCGATTTTCATTAATATGGAAATCTCTTATTATTCTATATTTGGGAACCTTTCCCTTGAGCGTTCTAATTGTTTCTATTTGTTTAGAACTTAGAAATGTAGAACCTCGTCGATAATAAGATTTTAGATATGGGGTATCCATAGTTTGTTTTCTTATTGAATATTTAAAATAATAAAAAATAATATTTAATATTTTAGAATGATAAAAAACGATATATATTATTGTAGATAAATGAGAAATATTAACAAAATAAATACAAGGGGCTATGAATTGAAATATAGATAAAAATAATCGCTATGTAACCTAATTCAATAATATTTAATATTATTTTTTAATAGTCTACGATATCTAACGTTAAATATTATTAGATAATTATAGAAATTATTAACGAAGTTAGTTTTTATTAATATGGAAGTTCTGCATATAAGTCATAAATGTTCTCGATTTCTTTATCCCAGTTGGTATTAGTATTTCTTTGATAGCCTCACCGGATAGGTATGTTGCATTAGCACTATAATAGCGGAGCTAGTGTCAAAGACACATATTCTTTATGTATGCGTCCCATTTTATCAATTATAACTGATCTTTAATATCTATTTTTTATTATTTAATATGGCTAATGTACATACACTACGAGATATTAGCTCTAATAAAGGTTATCGCCTTGGCAGTATGCGTGAGCGAGAGCTCGAAGAAACTTTACACCGCAGTTTAAAGTCTATATCCGAGCTAAATGACTGTAATGAAGGGTTGCAATCTAATTACTCGAAACGAGTGAAGGCTTTTGATCGAGAAAGAGAGGAGTGGAATCGGGATTCATTACGAAATAATACCGAGATCCAAAAATTACGTACCCACGCTTTACAAGTTATTAATGAGAATAAACAGCTACAAAATGAAAATACTAATCTTATTTCGTGTAATGCACAAAAGGATATTTCTCTTGCTGAATCCAAGGCTGAGAATGATACGAAATCTAAGAAAATCAGTTCGCTTGAGTCTATGATCGAGATATTGGAAGGTAAGTTGTCTTCAGCCCAGAAAGATGTGATTTCGATTCAAAATGACTCATTAAAAAAAGAATCTGAGATATTTTCTCTCAAATCCAAAATAGCAGAATTAGAAAATATACAGAGCGAATTGGAATTGAAGGTCAATGAACTTGAGCGTCTGAAATCGGAGGCTATATCAAAACCTATAATTGGTGGAGACGACGAAAAAAATATGACTAAGTCTAGTAATATATCTGCAGTTATTGAACCTAGTAAAGATCTCAGCCAATATTTTATACGTGAAAAAAGTATGGATCGAGCTGGAAAAATTGATACTATTATACCGGATTACACTGATGATGAAAGTACTCCTATACCCAAATCTCCGAGAGTAAATACTGAGATTATTCCCAAGGTAAGTGATGAAATCGATATTAGCAAGACTAATAAAGATATATTCCCAACCCAGGAGATAATGAACGTGGCCCCGTACCTTGCACAGCCAGAAAATAATACACCCTCTTTGATTAGATCACATCCTCAGATTTCGGTGGGAGGAATAGAAGCAATCCCTGCTACGGCAAGAACTTTGATGTCACTGCTATCAGCATATATGTTACTTGCTTTGTTGATTATTGCAGTTGTGTGGTTTGTAAGACGCACATGGGGATTTGAGAGGAAAAGTGATCGGTTACGGGATGCATGGACTAGGTATTAGTAATTATCTATTTAAACTTGGATATTATTTATGTACGAAAAAAATATTATTAATAATGTATATGTATCTTAGTAGATTGTGGCGATCTTAGCTAAGAATACTTAATAATATAGGTCGATAATCTCATCAACATCCGCTTCGGATGAGTCATCTTTTTTACTACTCTGCATGATTGATACCGCTTGAACACGTGCAATCTCAAGACCAATTGCTTTGTACCATGTATTTCGGAATTCTGTTAATGCTTCACATTC